CACCGCTGCCCGGGGGGGGGCCGGTGTGTTGGTCATCGTCACCGAAACCAGTGACAGGCCAGGGAAGCAACGATGAGAGAGGACACGCAGGCACAAGTGCCGGTACACTGCCGCCTTGCGGATATCGGCCACGAATGTCGCCGAAGTACGCTGCAGCCGCGACCAGCTCATGGAGCGCTAGAGCGCAGTCAGGGCTGAATCTGACCACAGACTGGGCAGAGGAACGGCAGGTACCTACAGAGCACTCACTCCACGGACCACACCGCTGCCCGGGGGGGGCCGGTGTGTCGTTCGTCGTATCCGAACCAGTGACTGGCCGGGGCTGCAAGACTGGTGGGGATATTTTTTTTTTGATTTGCGGCCCCAAAGGAGAAGTCCAGAGGGCGTGTCACTGGTGGGGATACGCGAAGAGCCAAGAATTTGGCACTGTCCTGAGCCCAAAAAGGGCCCACACAGGCAGAACTACTAAGTATACATAAACGGAAACACAAAAAAAACCTGGCGAAGAATCCAACCATATGCAGCTGCGGATAAAAAAAAATCAAGTGTAAACTAAGGGAAGGGGCTAGCAAAATGACTAGAGGCGTGCGTGCGAAAGGCGGAGCGAAATTGTAGATGGAAGCGCACAAGTCGGCCGTGACGGGTTACATCTGGACGTAAAACGTTACGGCTGATCTGCGCGTCTGTCGGCGCGGCCCCCAGGGGCAGCATGCCGCGGGGCCTTCGGTGGAGCTCCCTGTGGGGCCACCAAACGTGTAAGGAGTGTGCCACGATGACCGAGGTCACACATGCGATTCCTGCCACTGGGGCCTTCAGTGGAGCCCCCTTATGGGGCCACAAAGCGCGTGAGTGGTGCGCCGAAATTGGCGCGGTCACGCATGCGAATCCTGGAACGGGGGCCTTCGGTGGAGCCCCCTATGGGGCCACGAAACGTGGGCGCCGAAACGGCCTGGACCAGGCATGCGAGCGCAGATTTTCGGGCCTTAGGTGGAGCTCCTCGTTGGGCCAGGAGACGTGTGAGGGATGCGCCGAAATGGCATGGACCAGGAATGCGGACGCAGATGTTTGGGCCTTAGGTGGAGTTCCCTATGGAGCCACGAGTGTGTGTGGGGTGCCGAACTTGCGTGGACCAGAAATGCGAGCGCAGATGTTTGGGCCTTAGATGGAGCTCCCTATGGGGCCACAAAACGCGTGAGCGGTGCGCCGAATTGACGTGGACCAGTAATGCGGGCGCAGATTGTTGGGCCTTCGGTGGGGCTGCCAATGGGGCCGAAACGTGTGAAGGGTGCGCCACAATGGCGTGGACCAGTAATGCGGGCTCAGATTTGGGGGCACTGGGTGAACTCCTCATGGAGCCACGACACGTGTGATGGGTGCACCGAAACAGCGCGGACCAGGCATGCGGGCGCAGATTTTTGAACCTTGGGTTAACCTCACTATGGGGCCACGAAACGTGTGAGTGGTGCGCCGAAATGACGTGGACCAGACATGCGGGCGCAGATGTTTGGGTCTTAGGTGGCTCCCCATGGTGCGACGAAACGTGCGAGGGGTGCACTGAAATAGCGTGGACCAGTAATACGGGCGCAAATTGTTGGGCCTTAGGCGGAACTCCCCTATGGGGCCACGAAACGCGTGAGGGGTACGCAGAGATAGCGTGGACCAGGAATGCGGGCGCAGATGTGGAGGCCTCAGGTGGAGCTCCTTTTGGGGGCACGAAACGTATGAGGGGTGCGCCGAGCTTGCGCGGACCAGGCATGCGGGCGCAGATTGTTGGAGCCTTCGGTGGAGCTTCCTATCGGGCCACAGAACGCGTGGGGGGAGAGCCGAAATGGCGTGGACCAGACATGCGAGCGCAGATTCTGAAGCCTTCGGTGGAGCCCCCTATGGGGGGAAGAAACGTGTGAGCGGTGCGCCGAAATGGCGTGGACCAGACATACGGGCGTAGATTGTTGGCCTTAGGTGGAGCTTCTTATGGGGCCAGGAGACGTGTGAGGGGTGCGCCAAAATTTCGTGGACCCATGCGGGCGCAGATTGTTGGGCCTTAGGTGGAGCTCCCCATGGAGCCACGACACGTGTGAGGGGTGCACCGAAACAGCGTGGACCAGTCATACGGGCGCAAGTTGTTGGGCCTGGGGCGGAACTCCCTATGGGGCCACGAAACGTGTGAGTGCTGCACCGAAATAGCGTGGACCAGACATGCTAGCGCAGATGCCTGGGGCTTAGGTGGAGCTGCCTATGGGCCACGAAACGTGCGAGGGGTGCGCCGACATGAACATGTGGAGGGCAGAAGCGGGAGGAGGGAAGAGGAGCGAGTCGGATGCGGGGCGCTCTCTTCATAACGAGGACCCAACACCACAGGATGGTGGCCAAAAACGAAGAACGCCCAGATTGAAAAAAACATTCGAGCGACGAAAAGAAAGAATCCTTACGCACGATGGCATAGCGGCATTACGCGGCAGTTTACGCGGGCCTCCAGCGCGGCACGCTGCATTGGAAACGAGGGTGCCTACGCGCCGTCTCACGCAGGCAGCTTACGCGCAAATGTCCGCACAATCGACCCCGTTGTTCTGCGTTGCTCTTATCGTCGGAACTCTGGGCACGCGCAGACGAACCATCGGAGGTCCCGAATCCGTGTGGTGACAGACCACGCCGCGACCCCGAAATCCCAAGAGACCTCACCGCGCGGTCCATCACCGCACGGTCCTGGGACCTCGGAGGCCCTGGTCGCCAAGACGTCCCAGGAGTCCGACCCGAATCCCCAAACCGTGCGGTGACTCCGAAACCCCACTGATTCATCATACAGGCCGTTCTCAGAATGTTTCGTTTCCGGGCCACAGCTCAGTCTCTTGCGGCAGTTCGGGACCATCCTAACACCCCTGGAACGCTCTCTGCGAGGCGTAGCTGCTGGAGCGCATCCCGAAGCAGAAAACCCACCAGGAACCGACGAAGACGTCCGGGTCCAGGAGGATCCAGGCATCCCCAGAACGCTCTCGGCGAGGCGGTGTGGACACAACTCCGTTTGGGGGCCCCGAAGTCCGTCCTTGGGACGCACAGGGACATACTAGTACTATGTGTCCACCTTGGAGGCGCGCGTCCGACCCGAACATATACTATGCCCATCTTGTAGTGTGGCGTTTCCCGAGCGGTGTGGCCAGGAAGCGCCCGCCGCGACGCATATACGATCAGAATTTTCGGTGCGCGCGTCGCCCTGGGGAGGGCGACGCGCACATAGTATCAATGTATTTTGGGGTGACGCCAGGAAGCCGTCTGCTGCACGGGCCTGGCCCGGGCGTGCACCGCGCACGCCGGCCCGCGGGCGCAGGTGTCCGTGCTCGGGCCCACGACGCCGCAGTCTTGCCCGCGGGCCCCCCCAGGGGCGCTCGACCCCCTTCCCTTGGGGGGGGGGGAGCGAGGGGGGTCAAAGATCCAGGTCCAAGGCTTCTGGCGGCTTCTGCTACAGCCAACCCGTATCAGACGGATGCGCGGTAAGGATGCAAGGGCCTTGGAGACCCGAGTGAACGTTGTTTCGAACGAGGTTGGCCAGCGAAAGTCGCTAAGAATGAGCCGAAGGGGCAAAGGTGCAAGGGTCCCCTTGGGAAGGCTGCCCATCCTTGCTATGCGGGTTGACTGTATACGTCGAGGTCTTCTGGGAGGCTCCTCGCCGTTCTGCGGCTGTGACCGCCTCGGCACTCCTGCCATAAGGCACCCCAGAGCCCTAGACCTACCCCTGGAAGCCGAAAATTGTCCACCAGATCCGTCTTGATTTCTTGCAAGACGTTGGCGGCCTGCGCCCGGGGGTAAAAATCGGCCACGAGACCTTTCCTGGGCTCGATCGGGTGAGAACCTAGAGAAGAATCCGGCCGTGGCTACGAAAGCCTCCACGATCCCAAAAAGGTCAAAATACCTTTCTCTCATCTTGGCCAGCGTGGATCCCAAAAAGGAAGTCATAGTACTGTGGATGTGAGAACTGTGGTGCAGGCTATGTGGTGCAAGCTGTGTCGTGCAGTCTACGTGGTGCAGGATAGAGGCGGTAACGAGGCGGAAACGGGCCGCAGCGCGGCGGAACCCTTACTAGACCCACCCAACGCACGAGGCGGCAAAGAGGCGGCAACGGGCGGCAGCGTGGCGAAAACCTCGCCAGACCCACCCAGCACGAGGCGGCAAAGAGGCGGCAACGGGCGGCAAAGTGGCGAAAACCTCGCCGGACCCACCCAGCGCACGAGGCGGCAAAGAGGCGGCAACGGGCGGCAAAGTGGCGAAAACCTCGCCGGACCCACCCAGCGCACGAGGCGGCAACGAGGCGGCAACGAGGCGGCACCAAGGCAACCACGGGGGGCAACGTGGCAAAACCTCGCCGGACACACCCAGCGCACGAGGCGGCAAAGAGGCAGCAACGGGCAGCAACGTGGCGAAAACCCCGCCGGACCCACCCAGCGCACGAGGCGGCAACGAGGCGACAACGAGGCGGCAACGAGGCAGCTACGGGCGGCAACGTGGCGAAACCTCACCACACCCACCAGTTGCACGGGTGGCAAAGAGGCGGCAACGGGCTGCAAAGTGGCGAAACCTCACCGACCCGCCCAGCGCACAAGGCGGCAACAAGACAGCAACGAGCGGCAAAGTGGCGATAACTCGCAGGACCCACCCAACGCTCGTGACGGCAACGAGGCGGCAACAAGGAGGCAACGGGCCGCAGCGTTGCGAAACCTCGCCAGACCCACCCAGGGCACCAGGCGGCAACACGGCGGCAACAACGCTGCAACGAGCAGCAACGTGGCGAAACCTCGCTCGACCCGCCCAGCGCACGAGGCGGCAACGAGGCGGCAACAGGCGCCAACGTGGCGAAACCTCGCTGGACCCACTCATTGCACGAGGCGGCAGCGAGGCAGTAACGAGCGGCAACGGGCCAGGGAGACAAAACCAACCAATTTCTTAGGGAGACAAATAAGAACCCCAGGTCGGATGTCTGAGCAGGCATAAAGTTCACGCCCTCCGAGGGCCAGCTGCAGCGGTGTTGAAGCTCCGCATCATCAGCCGCCTGTCCGCGAGCTCTCGTTGCCTGAGGCACCGTTTGACGACGACGACGGCGACGACGACGATGACGACGACGACGATAATGACGACGACGACGAATACGATAACGACGGTAACGACACACAAGACGACGACGAAGACGACGACGACGACAACAACGACGCCGAGGACAGCGAAAATGACGGCGACGACGACGACGACGACGATAACGGCGACGGCGACGGCGACGGCGACGGCGACGACGACGACGACGACGATAGCGACGACGAAGGCGACGACGACAACGACGACGACGACAACGAAGAACCTGGCGTTGGCGACGGCGACGGCGATGGCGACGGCAACAGCGACGGCGACGGCGACGGCGAGGGCGACGGAGACGACGACGACGACGACGACGACGACGACGAAGACGACGAAAACAACGAAAACAACGAAGACGGCGGCGACGGCGACGGCGACGCCGATAGCGACGACAACGACGCACAGGACGACGACGACGAAGACGACGACGACGACGACAACAACGACGCCGAGGACGGCGAAAACGACCCCGACGACGACCCCGACGACGACGACGACGACGACGACGACGACAACGACGACGATGTCGACGACGACGACGACGACGAAGACGACGACGACGACGACGACGACGACGGCGATGGCGACGGCGACGGCGACGGCGACGGCGACGGCGACGGCGACGGCGACTGCGGCGGCGACGGCGACGGCGACGGCGACGGCGTCTGCGGCGGCGACGGCGACGGCGACGGCGACGACGACGGCGACGACGATCACATCGATCACGACGACAAAGACGACGACCACGACGACGAAGAATACGGCGACGGCGACGGCGACGGCGACGGCGATTGCGACGGCGACGGCGACTGTGACGGAGATGGCGATGGCGACGACGACGAAGACGAAGACGACGACGACGACGACTACAAAGACGACGGCGGCGACGACAACATCGACGACAACGGCAACGGCGACGACGACGACGACGACGACGACGACGGCGACCGCGACCGCGACCACGACCACGACGACGACGACAAAAAGAAGACGACGACAACTGATTATGAGGACTACGACGACGACGACGACGACGACGACGAAGACAGCGACGACGACACCGACAACGACGACGACGACGACGACGACGCCGACGACGACGACGACGACGACACGACGACAACAACGACGACGACAACAACGGCGACGACAACGAGAATCACGAAAACGACGACGACGATGGCGACGACGACGCTAACGACGACGACGACGCAGACGACGACGACGATGTCGACGACGACGACGACGACGATAACGACGACGATAACGACGATAACAACGCACACAACGACGACGACGGCAACGACGACGACGACGGGAACCTCAAATTCGGACGACGGCGACGTCGACGACGACGACGACGACGACGACGACGACGACGACAACGACAACGACGACGACGATGGCGGCGACGGCGACGACGACGGCGATGGCGACGGCAACGACGACAACGATGACGACGACGTCGACGTCGTCGACGACGACGAAGAAAATGACGACGACGACGACGAAGACAACAACGACAACGGCGACGACAAAGGCGACGACAATGGCGATGGCGACGGCGACGGCGACAGCGACGGAGACGACTGCAATGACAGCGGCAACGAGGACGACGACGACGACGACGACGACGACGACGACGACGACGGCGACCACGAGGGCGACGGCGACGGCGACGGCGACGACGACGACGGCGACGGCGACGGCGACGGCGACGACGACGACGACGACGGCGACGGCGACGGCGACGGCGACGGCGACGGCGACGACGACGACGACTACGAGGGCGGCAACGACGACGACGACGACGACGAAGACGACGACCGCGACAACAGCGACAACGACGACGATGACGACGTCGACGGCGACATGGAAGGCGACGACAGCGGCGACAGCGACGACGGCGGTTGCGGCGACGGCGGTGACGAAAACGACGACGACGACGACGACGACGACGACGACGACGACATGGAAGGCGACGAAAGCGCCGACGACGACGACGACGACGACGACGACGACGACGACGACATGGAAGGCGACGACAGCGGCGACGACGACGGCGACATGGAAGGCGACGACAATGGCGACAACGACGTCGGCGGCGACAGGGAAGGCGACGACAGCGGCGACAACGACGGCGGCGGCGGTTGCGGCGACGGCGGTGACGACGACGACGACGACGACGGCGACGACGACGACGACGACGACGACGACGACGACGACATGGAAGGCGACGAAAGCGCCGACGACGACGACGACGACTACGACGAGGACATTGAAGGCGACGACAGCGGCGACAACGACGGCGGCGGCGGCGGCGACGGCGGTGGCGGCGACGGCGACGGCGACAAATGCGACGACGGCGACGACGACGACGACGACGATATCGAAAGCGACGACAGCGGCGACGACAACGGCGACGACGGCGGCGCCAACGGCGACAGCGACGACGGCGACCACGACATCGACGACGGCGGCGCTGCCTGCGGCGCCGAGCGGTCTTAGTGGTGATCACAACGGCCAGCGGCTGCGGGACGGCGCCCGGCAGGTACTCGGGGATGGGCAAGCGGTCGTTGAATCTCGGGAGCTCCTCTGCAGGCGGTGGCAGCAGCAACGGGGGCACCGGAATGTGGATAGCGTGTCGCGCGGAGGCGTGGTGAGCCAGAACTGGTGGCGCGACACGCGAAGCCAGACGTCCTGACCCTAAGGGGCTTCCGCACGGGATGCACTCACGAAGGTAATTCACGGTTTCCGCAAGGAAGGAGACACTGCACCACCACCACCACAACCACCGACAGGCTGGCGGCGGAACCAGAGCAGGCGGCAACGGCATCGCCAGAGCAACGTGCAATGTGTTGTGGGGAAACTCGAGAAGGTAGTGACCGACGCCACATCGGCTTCGTGGACAATGAAACACCTGCTCAAATCCTTGGAGACGGTTATATTACAGCGCGGGAAGGAGGACCCACCACACCGGCGGGAGCTGGTACCGGTGTGGGTGCGAAGTTAGCGGGTGGAGGCTCAACCACGGGCGGGCCCGCCAAGGACAGGGGGGATGACGGAGACGGCCGCGGTGCTGGCTCCCTGAAGCCCCGTGGTCGGTGGAGGACGGCACGTGATGCCCCCCCCCAGGCTCGCGCGGGAGGAATGGGTGACAGGTCAGGTGGTGACTGGGGCGGCCTGGGACAGGCTAGTCATGGGCGACAAAGTCCACAAAGCCACAGCGGAGGTAAAGCTCATCACGACTACCCGAAAGGATGTGCAACGACTATTGGACAGTGTCACGTCAGATCACATACAAAATTGGTGTCGTCTACAGTGGTGCCACGGTTGATGGGATCGAGGCTCAGACCAAGTGGTTCCGGATCGAGTCACCTGGCAAGGCTGACCACATGCAGGCACTGAACGTGACGGCGCTCACCGGGAAAGGGTTACCCGACGTTGGAGCCTCCAATGTAATCCAGGCCAAAGGCGCGAAGGCGGAGGAGAAACACGACACAGCGGCCAAAACAGTTCCTTACGAATCACCTTAGTGAGGAAATACATGGGGGAGACGCCTGGAAGTCGTCCCTGGTTACAGCAATACACAGCCTATGGCAGGCCGAAAGCGTCATCCGCATGTATGGGTGGAGGACGTTGAGCTCGAAAGGCGAAGTCGAGGCGACGCAGTGCTTCGCTGGCGTGGCGGCCGGTCAGGTGGACGCCATCGTACGGCGAAGTGGACGAGCAGGCATCTCCGCGGAACGCCTGGCCCGTCAGAGCGGCCAAGCCAGCGTCGGATGGGTGCCGTGGCAAGACACGGAGACCAACGCCAGCTATTTGGAACGGGTCCTGCGTGCAGACGCTGGGGAGGGCCTTACATTCCGCCGTGGTGGGAAGGCCGAGCTCGGGTATCGCCTTCCGCAGGGAGTAAAACCCACACGGCCAGACAGAGCACTACCGCACGAAGTACGTGGGACACCGCAGTTCTGGAGTGCAGAGGACACCGCTGAGTTCTTGCGCGAGCAGGACTGGTCGTACATCGTGCTCACGCACCCGCGCTGGGGTCGCCGGGGCTTCGTGTTCCGAATGCGTGCCCCCGTTGACGTGACCAATTGCGTAGTGTGCCAGACCAAGGGAGGCAGCAACATCACGGTTACCAAAGACCACAGACGGCAAGACAGCATGGAGTCAAAGCCTCTACGGCACGACCAGGAACAGTCCGGAACGACCTTGCACAGCAACGCAGTGGCAAGTCGCCTGGTGCAGGGTCTGCGGGCGAAGCGGCCGACGACGTGCGAATGAAACCGCCTGATGGAGCTGGTGCAGCCGCGCCGACGCAGGTCATCTCTTCCAGCTCCCAGGCCGAGGAGGGCGACAAGCGGGCGACCGACGGGCAGGGGAGCGAAGATCGCAAGAAACTACGGTCCGACATGGTTTTCGGCTACGAGGTATGGGACCTCGGCGGCTCCGGCTGTTGCGCCTACCGCGCAGCCGGAGCCGCTGTGGCAATTTTGGAAGGGAGAGGAGAAGCAGCCATCAACGACAAACAGGGCGACGCTGGGGGCAAAAATGCGAGCGGAAACGACGTCGCTCATCCGCAAGCACAACCTTTGGAAAGACGTGTGGCTGCCAGACATGGCGACCACACCGCTCCTTGAGGGTGGCCCCACACCTACGACGTACGCGGCGTGGGTTGACGCCACAGCAAGACCTGGCCGCTGGGCCTGCGAGTACACCCTCGCAGCCTTGTCCGCCAGGGTGGAACCGAGGCTTGCTATCGTTAACTGGCACGAAGCGAAGAGGATCAAACGTTGGGTGATCTCTCCACCTGATGTGCCGGGTCTATTCAAGAAGCGGAACAAGGCGTACAGTCTACCACCAGCGCCACTTCTGCTGAAGGACGGGCACTACACCACGTTCAAACGACAGGCAGGCCAGTTGGATCGGCCAATGGAGTGGGCCGACCCCCCAACGGCAGACGTCCCATTGGCACGACTACGCAGAGGTGCCAACGACCAGGGACTCGACGGGGGGATCTGGGAACAATCTAGTGACGACGACGGTGTGCAGGTGCAGCGGCACGGCGCGTTTGGTGGGATTTGCGACGACAGCGGCACGCAGGTACGACGAGACGACGACGGTATGTGTGACGACAGCGATGTGCAGGTACGACGACTCGACGACGGCAGGGGAAGGGCCTTATCTGCGGTGGGCTGGGAGCAGCAGGTGGGGGCGGCGGGCACAGGGGAGGAGCCGCAAGCCTCCACAGTTGGGTTGCCGAGACCGCCGCTTCCACTGCAGCCAGGCAGGCGAGAACACGACTGCGTGCCAAGACGCCGCCTGGGCCAGTGGAGGCTGCGCCTGCTGTAGCTTCTGTAGGCCGGAGGAGGTCGCAGAAGGGGCCGGCATTGGATGCAACGACTCGCGCGGCTGTGCTGGACGACACCAGCGTCGCTGTAGACATGTCGCAGGACTCACTGGGCCCAAAGCCTTCGGAGCTGGCGCCTGCGATCACAAACCATGAGAGGTGGCGCAGGAAAAAAGGCTTGACTCACACCACGGCGGCCGAGTACCACGCCAAGGGAAAGCAACGACGGTGGGTATGCCCAGTTCTTCTCCCTGACCCGAACGGTGGCGTGGCGCCTGTGCAGTGAGGTTCCGTGGCGAATTCGAGGACAGCCAACAGGCGGTGATCAAGAAACGGCGCAAACATCTTGCGCGAGCACACCCAGGAGTGCCAGCGGTACAGTTCCATTTACGTCAGGGCACCGCTGTGTACGTACCACGGTCGGAAGATGAGATTCGAGCCTCCCTTGGGCCAGAGTGGCCGACGGAAGTGCCAATCCCAGCGCACCTCATGGAGTGGAAGTGCCCAAACTGTGGCAGGTGGCTCCTACGGACTACAGAGGTGGATAGGCACACGAGCAGGAAACGACACATGGAGGAGGTGCACGGTCGGGCCTACGCTAAGCAGGACCAGACGGCGGCGTACTACAGATGGGAGGCGAAACAGAAACGGCTCCGAGCCGAAGGGCATCCCGACGCCAGGGCACGCTGACGGGGCAGGCGGGGCGCTCCTGGAGCGCGCCCGCCCCATTTGCACTGTCTCCGAGGCGGCGCGGCGAGCAACGCGGACATGGAGAGCTGGGAGCACGCGGCCCCGGCCCCGAATGCCCAGCGGCCACTACCTCACACAATGTGGTCCTGCCATGTTCGGAGCGAGGCTGGGGCGTGGCAGGCGGCGCGGATGGCGTACAACGACGGGGTGGACGTCATTTGCCTGCAGGAGGTGGGACTTGCTGGTTCTACGGTGCGGTCGTTTTGCAATACGGCGTACAACAACGGTTACCAGGCATACCATGTGCCGGGTAGTTCTGACCCTTGCGGGTCGCGGGGCAGTTTGGTCACACTAATAAGGCGCACTCTACGGTCGCGGCACCACTTGCAGGGAGTTGGGGCTCATGGTCAGGTTCTGGCTCCGCTGGTGGAGGGTGTGGTTGTGTTCAATATATGGAAGGCGCCTGTGGCAAAGGTGGACCATACGATGCGTGTTGTCATAACTGCACGAATGCAGACGGCGTGGTTTCTTGGGTGGCTATTGGAGATTGGAACACGGTGCCAGCGGAAGTACCTGTGCCGAGGGAACACTGCCAACGCGTGATGGTACGCGATGGACAGGGCAACCTCCTACCTACGAGATGGGACACCTCGCGGTGCGTCGACCACGCTGTGGTGTACAACTGCGACGTACGTGCTCGGGGCTTTGACGGGAGGGCGGTGGCGGACCACAGGGTCGTGGTATTCGGGGCTGACCTGTCGACGGCCCCTGTGTGTCGAGTGGGAGCTGGGCAGGCACTGGTGCGTGGGCAAACCCGACGGCGTCGACAAGGAACGTTGGCTCGACGTGGTACGGAGACAATGGGACCAATACGAACACATTTGGAGGGATGCTGTACACGACGCGTCCTTCGTCAAGGGAACGTCGAACGCACAGCATTGGATGGACGACCTGTGGCGCCAGTCTTCTGTTGCTCTGGAGACGACTGGGGAACGGGCCCGGCTCATGCTGCAGGAGGCCCTGGAGGCCGAGGCGGGCGAGCAAGGATTGGGGGGGGAACGCGACAACGGCAGGAGGCACTACAACAGCAACGTGCGTATGTCACGGCATGCCCCAGCTGGGTGCCACAGGGGAGAGGCCAAGCTCAAGCGCAAGCAGATGCGGGCCAACTGCGTGGTTCCACAGCCGCCATTTCAGGAGCGCCACGAGCACAGAGGAGGCGCTGCAGCTGCTGTCGAAACGGTGGCGCAAAATCTGGGACTGGGATGTCCCAGACAAGTGGAGAGACAAAGTGCGGGTGTGGACCAGGCGGCTCCCGCAACGGGATTGGGACATCCACGACGCATTTGATGTGTGTGGCGCAATGGACCGACAGCGGGGCACGGCGGCAGGTGCCGACGGATGGTCTGGGACAAAGGTGGCTGACCTCGAAGGCAGTGTGGGCCCGGCCGTCGCCGTGGTGTTCGACGCCTTTGAAATGGCAGAGGTCCTCCCAGGTCCGTGGTCGGAGGCGCGGCGGATGCACCTCCCCAAGGAGAGCCCGCCGGCGG